GCTTTGAGACTGGGGGAGGGAGGCGAGCAGACGGGGGAATGCATGTGTCTCGCAGACACATGCATTCTCCTATGAGTTAGGAGGACACATGGCTGTTAAGTTGCTGGGTTTCATTTCCATTCACTTGGCACCGAACCCATCAAGGGGAGGCCAGGGAGTACATGTTTTACACCAGCACCCACTTACATGCCTGGATGGCCACACATGCAACTGTAGATGCACAAGAACACTTTCAGAAACACACACACCCATTCCTTGAGATGCGCAGGCAATCAAATGTTAGCAAGCAGAAAGAAACACGTGCTGACCCCTACACAGGTGTAGTACTCAGACACATGTTTGACTGACAACTTTGTGAGGATATACCGTACCTATATAAAGTGTTTGCCCACTTGGAAGTTTCCCTCTTTTATTGCTTCTTAACAGCAATGGCGTAAGTATTCCTTTAAAGTGATTCACCAATTTCAACACAGCTGGTTACACAGTGAGTCAAATGGAGATTATGTGAGTGCAGCGTCTTAAGTGACCTGTATCTGAAAAGTCCAGTAACGGGTGAATTAGTACTCCTGGATATAACTACACCATGAGGGCAAAGGAACGCTACAAGCAACTCTACAAGAAGGTTACTGACAACCGTATGTTAGGGGGACGCATAAAAGAAAAATTCCAAGTCACTAAGTGGAGTAAATTCAATCATTTAGAAACAGAAGGAATATGGCACATGTATAAATCTGCCCTGAGCAGGTCGTCCTCAACAACTGTGCAAGAAAGAGACGAGCAAGTGAGGCCACCAAGACACTGATGACTCCTCAAGATACAAGCTTCAGGGGCTTAGATTTCACATACGTTTAATTCATTGGCATTACTTTGTAGAAATTTGTTTTCACTTTGACATAAGAGTATTTTAGAATTAGAATAAAACTTCATTAATCTCTTCAGTACAAGACCTCAGGGTAATTGCTATTTTATGTGTAAAACTAAATTAAACTGAACAAAACTCAATGTGGTAAAGCAACAAACTACTTTTAATAGGCAATGTACATTCCTTAGTCCTGTATCTTCACCTTAACCATCACGACTAAATGCCTAAGTCCAACTCGAATCTAAACCAAAATAAAGTCTTAACCTTCAAAAACAGGTCTTTAAAGGGGTTTGAGAAGGTGACAACCAAAACATCCTCACTCCAGTCGTTTAAAACTCAAACTGGCCCTCATTAAGATACTTACACATACAAGCCCACAGAACTGCTGACACACAGGAACACAGAAACTGGAGCATCTTAATATAGGAGCCATGTGAAAAATAGCCAGATAGGTGTTCAAGGTGGCACCGCAGTGTCATTTTAGCACATGCACACTTAGAAACACGTGTCCTCGAACACACCATTCACGTGATTGCTGGCTGTGATCAGAAATATGGTTTTAAAGAGCGATGCTGCCCTCCATGTAATTTATCTTTCCAGGAGAGGAGCAGTCCAATCTACTGGTCTGACCTCATACTACTAATGGCTGAAAATATCATTTTCCACTAATACAGTACTCACGGTAATTGGAGAAAATCCTATAAACGTTTCACTGTTCTATTTGCATTCAAAAATATGATTTAGTGCATCATAAAAGCGTTTCTGAATGAAACATACAATGGCACTCAACTGATTTATCGTAGAAGGGGGACTAACAAATGCAAAAATAACAGCCACAGACGGGAAGATCCAGCAATGAAGGGTTAAAATATGCTTTTCCTGGGGATCACTGATGTTTTGATGAACTTCCCTTCTCAACCCTCTGAACCCCAAAATCTGCTGGTCCACTGTAAGACCAAATTACACTATTTATCAGAGCAAGAAACTGAAAACAACAGAAAAGAATCATCAGATTATTACAGATTTATTGGTCCGTGAACATATTGTAGGCGGAGTATGGTTTCGTCAGGAAGAATTACCGAAAGTAAGCTTAAAATTGTGATATTTTGTCACTTTATTTTTGGCAACTCATTAAATAAGACGTGTAAATTCAACTGTGTGCACCACATCATGTAAAAAAAAAAACAAAAAAAAACAACTGCTCCTCAGTGTAACTTAGAAGCCAACAGTGACTCAGCTGCTATCAACGTAACAAATAATCTGCATGTTTTAGCTGAACTGTCTTTACGTAGAGCACAGAGGAGACAAGGCCAATATCATGAATGCAGCAAGGCTTAAAAAAGGGTATACAAGTAGAGCAACTTGTCAGCAAATTGTTGGAAGACACATGCAGCATGGTGGCATTTAGTTTGTAGACGTTAGTATTAGTTAGTAGCTGTTATCATTACAGTATCATTATTAATAGCTAATATCTGTAGCATATGAAGCCCTTATTTTGTTTGTAAAATCCTGAACTTAAGTTTTTTTTCCCCCAATTTTTCTACAACAAATTGAGCAATTCAACTTGGTTTTTGCTTTGTATTATGAGTTATAGAGTTCTAACTTTCTAGCCATAGTTGTGCTGTTTGCATGGAGGGGCAGGACTTCATATTGCAGCAACAATGGACCCAGAAATTGGTTAACCTACATTTTAACAAGGGATTTTCCTGCTTTATCAACTATCAGGGTAAAGTTTGCAGATCTCATCATTTTATATTGTATTAGTGGGGGACATTTTTAATGATTCTTAGCTTCAAAAACAAAGCCAGATTGCTTTGTTGTTGGCTTCCAAACAAGTCGAAAAAGGAGAGATAATGAGAGACAGTGATGCAATAAAAGGGGAAAATAGAAAGAACAAAGCAATCCGAAGTATCACGTGTCCTTTTATCGTCCATTTTCAGATGCAGTCCTTGTTTCTAAGCCATTCTCTGACTGATATCCTCAGTTGAGATGGAAACTCAAACAGGAGTGTTCCAGGTACTATGGACTGAGGGTACGATTTGTGGGAGTACCTGGAACTAATTAGTCACTCGGGGCTAACCAAAGGCGCTCGATAGTTCTTGAGGGACTGGCTTCCACTTCCCTCAATTTAGATGATTCTAGTAATCAGCTGAAACTATTGTTACTGAGAGATGAGAGGCATCTCTCATTAGACTTTCTGACTAAATCTTCACAGTCAGTGCAAGACCAGTAACCTTCTAAATTTTCACTAGTAAGTTGCTTTCCCCGATAAGTTGTTTCGATACCGGCGTGCAAACGAAGAGGTAGCTGTACAGAACGGAGGCAGATATTAGATGGAGTCTGCTTGCACACTTTGAGCTGCTCGTCATTTTATGAGTCATTAAAGAAAAAGAAAAAGAAAAAGAAAAAAAAACACCTTCATTTGTTGGCTGGGATCCCTTTTAAGTGCCAACTGGCTTGCTGACTGTCGCTGCTCCATTTTTGTACAAATGAGCCTAATAAAAAAGAAATGAGGCACGCAGCAGAAGTGCGCTCAAAAGCATTACAGCTGCGAGGAAGGAGTCACAAACTAGACATGGTTTTGTTGTTCCTCCACATAACTGAAATACTGGTACTCTACTGAACTTTACTGTATAGGATGTGATCAGAATACACAATGAATAGAAGTCAGTGCTTGCGTTTGAAGTATGATTCTCCAGAATCATATCTATCATCCAAGACTGATCTCAGTCCATCTAGCACTGATGTACAGGAATTAACTGGTGGCAACTTCAGCAGAAGTGGAGTTATGGAACTAACAAGGTTATAAAGAAAAGCAAAACAACCTGACAACCTGGCAGAGCAGAGCAGGTAAGTCTTCCTACCTCTGTCATTTTTTTTTTTTTTTGGCTTTTCATTACAATTAGTGAGCCTTTTGTGGAGTTTGGCGAGAAAACCAGAAAACTTTACCTGCTGTGCTATCCATCGATTCTAAATATCTACTAGAACTGGGTAAAATCATAGGTAGGAATGTGCATCATGTCACATAAACTACATGCTGTGATGCTGTGTGCACACAAACGCCAACCATTCTGCAACAACAAAACGGGGACCACCTGGCAAAATTACTTCCCAGTAGTCCTACTAGAGGTTCTACACAGTACCTTTAAATAAGACTGAATTAGGTAGATTACTCAATGACGCACTGCAGATTGTAGGCCAGAATGGCTAGAAAAGCATGCAGGCTTGCATATTGCCATGTCTGACCAGACGTAGGACACTGGGTCTTTTCGGTGTACTACATTTGACATAGTATGTACTGGGATAGAATAAACCATTTTCTGGTGTACTATGTAGTATGATAGTATAAATATTGGAACGAACCGATGGTGTCAGGAAGTCTGGAACCGACCAGAGGTCCAAGTAAACATTCAGTAAATGTTAAATAAGTTAGACCTAGCATTCTCCATCAGGTTGGGCCAGTTCAAAGTTAGTAGTGTGTTACTCCTGCCGCCTAATATCATGAATTAATCCTGCAAAGCTGCTGATGTGGTGCTTTTCTCCTCATTAACGTTATGCCAGAGATTGTCCCATCAATGGGAATTTGGTCAAATAAGAGCAATTCTGCCACTGTTGGGCATGGTGGTGGGGGTCGAATCCAACTATATAATCCATCCATTCTCTATACACCACTTAATCCTCACTAGGGTCATGGGGGGCTGGAGTCTATCCCAGCTGACTCAGGGTGAAGGCAGGGGACACCCTGGACAGGTCACCAGTCTATCACAGGGCCACACTTAGAGACAGACAACCAAGCACACTCACATTCACACCTACGGACAATTTAGAATCACCAATTAACCTCAACATGTTTTTGGACTGTGGGAGGAAGCCGGAGAACCCGGAGAGAACCCACGCTGCACGGGGAGAACATGGAGACTCCACGCAGAAAGATCCCGGGTGTCCTCACCAGGATGCGAACGGGCAACCTTCTTGCTGCGAGGTAACAGTGCTACCAGCTGCGCCACCTTGTAGCCCATCCAACTTTATAATCACAATTCTCCATTTAAACGGATGAATACAGTTGTGTTGAACTGGAGTGCTTCCCCACCCCACTGTCTGACACATTGTACTACTCGGTCGACTGGTTTATACTTACAGGTGAAGATGACCAAAACTGTGCGGAGCAGCAGGTCGACGGCTATCTCCCACCTCTCTGACACACGAGCCACCACTGGGGGTATGAGGATCTCTGCCGGAACGTAGAACTGCAGAGCAAAGGTGATGAATATACCGAAGCAGTACAGCAGCTTAACAGCCTGGTACGTCCTGGTGACGGGAAGAGAGGGGAGAAAATGACAGAGAGACAAGAATCAAGGAACTGTGAAATAGAGAACAACAGGCTTAAACAGATTAAATGAAGTGTGGCTAAGCAAAGTCACAGCTAAAAAAACAAAACAAAAGAGTGGTCACATTTAAAAGTCCACTGAGATGCAGCCAATCAAAACTCTTCATAAAGTACAAAATAAGCACGAGTGCAAGGCCTCAGTTTTCATTTTCAAGATCCATCAGAAACATATTACAAGCTGAAGAGGAATCCATTGGTCGTCCTTGTAAAACAAAACAAACACTGACAGCCGTCTGCTCAGTGTTTCAAACAGAGATGCTGGTAATTACAGTGTTTGAGTTTTCAACCTCACTCAACAGCCAATCTATTCCACTAATTAGCGCTATTGGTCCAGTCACGGAAGGCATTTGGATAGACGTCTCTCTGCTGCAGCTGTGGTGATAGTAACAAGTAATGAGCACACAAATCCAATCTGAGTATTTTGGTTTTACTAAGTTTATTGTCTGAGCTTTTTCATCAGAGACAATAAGAATGATTGTGTTCAACCAAACCACAAGACGCATTTGTTTATGAAGCTAGTTTCCTCTGTGAGGTGAGCATCATCCTCCTAATTTGTGTAGGTAATTACTGCAGACATATGATTATTTTTCTGTCAGGACGTGCTGAGCTCTTTGGAGGAGGAGTGAAGTATGATTTAAATCTAATAATGTGAAAAGCTTTGATATGAATTATAAAATCTGTTTACCAAACTCTGATTCAGTGTTGATTAAAGCTTATCTCAGTTGATATTTCATATTTGATTTTCTGAATGTTTAGGTGGGCAAAGTGCTGTCTGGGGAAAAAAAATAAAAATCCACTGTTGCACAAGAAGATAATTTGTTTGTACAACAAAGGAACTAAGGAACAAACAACTGGAAGAAAACCTAGCGAATAACTACTCAGTCTCCCCACTCTCTTTGGTACGTCTGTGCTCAGACACTACCTGGTTCCATTGTTACTGTGAGACAATTACACAAACTAATTTAGGAATATGCAAAAGTGAGAGTGAAAGTTAAATAGCTAAGAATTCATAACTAGATGTTGATGCAGGCTCTGAGACAAAACCAAGATTCACTAATAAAGCAGACGCTGTATTTTCAATGTTATTTGATAGTGTAGCTTGTAGGCATATTAAATATTTTTCTGCAAATCTCCCACCTTTTTAAGCTTTCTAAACAACTTAGCAATATGTCCTGCTGAAAGCAGGGATAACCACTGGGCCTATCTGATGTATTTACCACATCCCCCTCCAGTAAGGGCAGCTGGCTCTACTCCAGTTGGCACTATACACTCAACAAATTACACAGGGACTCCAACTCCCCATCGTGTCAATGTTTACAACTTAAGAGGATCAAGTAGAACTGTCATTGTGGTCATGAAAAGAGGGGGAAAAAACAACGAGAGTGAATTGCAGGAATAGAAATCCAATGAACTTGTGTTCTGTCCTCTCCAAGTTTACTGTTGGTAAATAACAGTAGCCTTAAGCTGTTTTGCTAGTTTGATGTGCTACCTAAAGCAGTCCATCTCTGTTTTGCTTGCAGCCAGTTGCAGGGCTGTTCTGTGTCTCTGTGTCTGGCAAAAGTGAAAGTGACATAAAAATATGTCTAATCGGTAGCAATGTTTATAAGTACAGCTAATTTACTTGTACGTGCTCGAAAACAAAATCTTGCTTTGTAGCCATAACATCCACCAGTTTAGACCATTTATAGGCATGATGGCACTCTTCATAGGTGCACATGATGTTAAAACAACATAATGTTTATCTTCATCAGTCTGCTACAGTGACGGTGCTCTTGTCATTCAGACACAGGTCACTTTTCTGTTAATGTTTCTTACGGCTTCATACACAGATACTCCCCTCAGTGCCCGAGAGAGCCGCCGTATGCAAGCGATACTAGTCATTCACCTGAGATTAGACAATACACCAAGTGATGTCTGATGCATAGTAATGACCAAACAGACCAAATCTAAACTAATAGCAGCTGATCAAACTGTCCAAATAAATAACAGGCCAGTTAATTTCTGATGTCCTCAACAGGGAAACTGAAAGCTCAGCAATCAACTTAAGAACAGCCAACAAAACATTTATCTGCAACTGATAAACTGTGAGTCTGTGTGACAGCTCACTTGTGCTCAGGTGAAGAAACGTGCACAGTCCTATTAGATCCTGGTCAGTCCCTTCTCCGTGTCACAAATAATGTACAATTAAAAGTAAATATGAAGTTACTGCTGCTGCTGCTGCTTCCTGTGTAAATGCGTGCCACTCTTTCTCTCTTTGGAGATACTCGTGGAACCTACTGCTATCTGTTGCTCCAGATATGCAATAAACTACACAGGAATAGTCCTAAACAGCTGGAAGCTAAACTGTGATTCTGTGCATGACAGCTGAGCTGTCTATAATGAAGACCTGTAGACCTACACAGTGTAACCTGCCATCAGATCCTGATCTGGACTGAGCTGCTCTTCATGCTCTCTTGGGGGATAATTTAAAATTATTTGGCTTTAATTGAATTACCAGCACTGTTGCTCCACTTGTTCAAATGCACACAGCTCTATCGCTCTGGAGACACACATATGGATCCTGCAGCTATCTGATGCTGCAGGTGCTAAAAATTGGAAAAATCCTTTCCTAAATCACTTCACAAACCCTAAAGTACTGCTGCCTGTGCATGCCTATCTGTTCAAGTGACAGCTCAGTACACACTGTGTCGTGTTGACAGCGATACAGAAATGTTCCTAGGTCCAGCCTGCCAGTGTGACTGTTACAGAAAAGTGAACAGGGTGACAGCTGAGACGTTAAATTGCTCCGGAACACATTAACCAAATCCTTGTTGCACTAATATTTTAAAATAAACAGATGCCTTGTGGTGATTTTCGAAATCACTGTGTTAGGGGTCTGGGGACAGTTGTGGGGTGGTGGGACGGCCCATGACAGGGTGCAGAAAAATGTTCTACGTGGACTGTATGATGTGTTTGTTTTAACTATATGTGCACATTCATTAAAACAAACATTCAGCTTTAAAATCACTGAAAGTAGGAGATTAAAAAGCTTTTAAAAAGATGTACAAATCATGTTCGATCATTATGATCTTCAATGTCAAACCCCTGCTGATCAGATGCTGGCATCTGTTGGTGATCAAGAGAATGATGACGTTATCTTACCAGCAGTTTGGCAGATTGAGAGTGATGCTCCCGCCTATGTGCTCTCCAAAGCACATATAACCTATAGTACCAAGGCTGATGTAGAGGAAGGTGACGATGCCCATCCCTACATATAAAACCAGGGTGAATTTCTGAGGCCTCTGCATCTTATTCTCCAGGGGAAGGACCTGTCAACCCAGAGAGACAAAGACACAGACTGTTAACAGGACATGGACCAAAACAGCCCAATGACATTTGTTTTGTTTTTGATTAAGCTTCTAATGAGGACAGCTCAGGTGACCCTGAACCACACCTTCGTTATGCTGCTATAGGCCCAGACTGCTGCAGGCCTCTAATTATACACTGAGCTCCTGTCCTCTCTTTCACTCTCCATGCATTTATATGATACAACTGCATGTCATTAACTGTGTCTCCCTTGGAGTTTGCACTTTGTCCTCTGTGACTCTCTCCCTAGTCCTTTCTGCAGGTATCTCTCGCTCCATGCTGCATGTTGATGATCTGCAGTTGTAGGTGTTATGATTTGCTCTGTGCACGCTTCCATCAAAAGGAATATTTGGTATCAAGATTAACAGGTTGGTACAATAAAAATGTATTAAGGTGCATTAAATGATGCCAAAGAGAAATGTTAGATGACTGTTAGTCTAGTAAGGTCATGTATTTAATAATTTTATAGCAATTTACAATTCAGTGCACTCTGCATGCAGTTGCTTATTCGGAATGTGACAGCTGTACTTCAGAGCTCTTAAACTTCAAATGTCGCCAATGGAGAAGTGCTTTTAGGTCTGACACTGTCATCACACAGTGAAGGATGCATGAAAACCACTTCAGCTTTTGGACAAATAAAAGTGAAATTTATGTTACTGATTGAATATTGTCTATAATGAATATCAAGAGATTAATCAATTTTCTAATCACTGTTGCATTTGTCTCCCCAGCAAATAAAGGCAGTTTTTCCTCCCTGCCGTCAGCAAGTGATGCTTAAGAGGAATATTCTGGGGTATCTCTCTACAATGAAATGTGGGAAGGTGTTGATCCTACACTGTGAATTACCCTGAGACAACCTCTGTTATGATTTGGTGTCAAACAAATAAAAGTAAAATGAGTTCAAATTTAGCTCCTGTCAGTTATTCACTCTAAAATGTCTCTTCTTTGCAGGCCTTCTTGATTTTAACTAATGGACATTATAATTAAACTTGTGCTGACATTTAACAAAAGACCAAGGCTCTCTGAGATGTGTTATGTCCTCTCCAGCACACTGAGTGGTGTTAATTGAATACCAATGAAGACTTTGCGTCTGTCTCCAGCTGCTGCAGAGCCATGTGATGAGTGTGTCTTAAAAGCAAAAGCCAAAGACCACACTGTGACATGTTAAAGCGTTACTTGGCTATTGCCCTATGGGACTGTAAAGCAGCACTATGACTCATTTTCCTCCATTTCCAAAGTCCTGTCCAGACAAAACAAGATGACGTGTGCAACCATCATCACCTTCAAACCAGCTCTCTGCACAGAAACAGAAGCTGTTGCATTAAAAATATTATTTATGTGAGTCTTGCACATGGTGCAGGTGTTGCAATGTCTGCTATGATCTGCACATGACTATTTAAAATATGTGTAATTATTGCCAACAGGAAAGAATCATGTAAAATCTGTCTGGGTAGACAATGTCAACAGTTAAACAATACAATATTCAACAAGCCTGCTTCACTTTATAGTCAAGGATGTAAATTAACATTTAGAAGGAAAAGTGAATCTACTACAGACAGATGACATAAGTACAAGGATTCCTAAATTGAGCAAAAACTGCATAAATTACGCAGCATGTCCATTAAGACTTAATGTTTTGTTCATTACGGACGACTTTCCACTCTTAACAGCCAACAGAATCCTGCTAAATCCTGTCAAATACATGGTAATACCTGGTGTAAACCTGCCATTTGTATCTGAATACCTTATGTGGATGACGTGATACTAGGCCTGTGTGATGAAACAACAACTATATGACATTCAAGAGATACATAATTCACTATAATGTTTGATGGATGGCATGGTGATGCGGTGTTTAGCACCGTCACCTAACACCTCAAAGGTTCTGGGCTTGAATCTGGTGTCAAGTTTGCATGCATGGGTGTTCTTAGTGTTACAGGTTTGTCCTACAGTCCCAGATGCACAGTAGGTTAACTGGGGATTTTAAACTAGCCATAAGTATAAGCATACGTGGTTGACCCTGCCGTTTACACAACGTCAGCTGGGACAGGCTCCAGCCCCTCCACCGTTAGATACAAACTGCCATGAAAGCACGTAACAAAAACGCAAAGTTTTCACAGTCCGAAAACGCCAGCCTCCACCTCACTGACACCCTTGATGTCACTAAGAACCTCTCCTTCAGCGTGGTTTAACGGCTTTGCCCTTTGTGTGCCTCTTTGTTTTACTTGCTTCCTTTATTTAACGTGCATCAAGGTGAGATCATTCCCTTATCCTTTGTTATTTTTATTTGTGTGTAAATGTATGTATTTGTATGCGTTTTTCATTGATGTGTTCACATTAAAACTATTACCTGTGCATCTTGGTAAGCAGGCTAAAGTAGTTTAATTCAAATTAAAGCTTTTATCTCTCCAGTTTGGCCACACTCTCACTGCTCTGCTACCATCACACATGTCCTCTGCAGGGGAAATAACAATAACGCTGCCTCTCTGATTTGCAAACTGAAATCCAATCATAATGCAGGCAGAGATAATGAGAATGCCTATAATCCAGATAATCAATGCAGACGCATATTTCATGTTCATGCCAGGTATAAATAAGCTTTGAGCAGCATCTGTATGAATGTGTTGGCTCTTGCTTAATTTAGCTTTAGTTACATACCACTCCAATTCCTTCGAAGGCAAAGATGGCTGTCCCAAAGAAGAGAGGGTAGTCTTTAGCTCTGCCGACTTTTGGTAGATCGATGGGATATCGGATGTGCTGCAGGAAGAGAAAAACAGAAACAAAGCTTCACTCTACAGTCTGCATCAGGTGATGATATAATGTAAGGCATGTGGAATGCGCATCTCAGACTGCTTGACGTGTTGTTTCTAAACGTTACATCCAAGCAAATAAAACCCACAGTCAAGACGTCCTCTCTACGGATGACTGGCAATCACATCAACAACACCGTGGTGCAAAGAGGACACCCTTCCTCGGGCCTGTTGGATTCATTTGTTGATCACAGCTTGCAAATGACCTTAGCTGGTAAAATAGTTTTTTCATAAGATGAGGATCTTTTATAAGTAGCCGTGAAATGAGAAGCATACTGTAAATGAACAAACCCAACTGGGAGAGTAAAAGATCATGTAAGGCATTAAACACAATCTCTTTGGCATCACTGAAGCAACATCCTCTTGTCAAACAATGACTGTTATTTAAATTTAGCAGTTGAAGAGGGTGCAGCGGAGTCAGCAGGACTCACATCCGGGGAAATGAAGGTCAATGGAATGAGCCAAAACGGTCAAATCGGAATGTTGAGCCATTAAACATGAAATTGAGGGAAATGTTTAAGAACCACATAAATACTTTTTTATATTGTAATGTTCAAGGCAGAGTTTAAATATAGAAAGGGAACCAAATCAAACCTAACAATGAAAGAAAGTGATACCAGACTGTTGCTGAAACACTTTTAGTTCATGCGCTCCAGTTTTCCCAAAATTTGTTGCTCAGGTCATTCATCAGCAAGGAAACACCTTACGGGCCACATATCTTTGTGCTAAATCTTTGTAAGGTTTCCGATGCAAGAAATTGCTTCTTTTCAAGGTAAGGCCATTTCTCTGTGAATACGACCACTATATATCTGTAAAGTGCAGAGGCTGCATGATGAAATACTCTACAGCCGCAAAAACAGATAATCTGGAGGCTCTGTCACTACCAGTTGTTCTGTTATCCATAACAACCCCAGGATCCAATCAACTGAGCAGAAACAGAGATAGTGAGTGCAACACGCAGGGGCAAATGGGAGCGTTTAAGGGGGCTGCTTTTAAGTGTTAATAAAGAAACAGTCGCATTAGATTACTGCTTCATATACAATCGAGGGGAAAAAAATGTCTCCATTACAGACTTTCAGATAAGTAATCTATTTTCTATCCAGCATAAATGATAAGATACGAGATTGAATACTGTGCAGTGATCACTTAGATGTCAGTGCCAAATAGCAGAGTAATTGTTCAGGGAAACAGGTCTGGATAAATAATTTGCACTTGCTGATCTGCTGACATTTTTTTGTTGAGCGGATCATATATGTAACTGAATAAATCACACTGTTTACATGGTGTTAAGTATTACTGTCAGATTTCAAAAGAATTCCAGTTTCTTTAATCAGGGAGAAAGAAAATAATTTAAAATGACCAAAAGTAAAACTTTAAAACTAGTTTCTTGAAGCTGATTTACACACGTGCATGATATGTACATGACAAACAGGAAAAGGATCATTATAGCCACAATAAATCAGATCATTATCAGACATGGAACACACAACATTTCTGGCTTTATCAACCTGTTAAAGTGACAGCATTCTGTCTTTCAGATATTTTATGTTTCCTTATGTTTCTATGCTGACGTTGCCACCGCAATGTCTAAGTGAGCTTTGTGTCATGGTGTTTTCGACTCTGCTGGTGCACTCAAACTGTATAATGCACGGCTCCTCGTTGTTTAATCCTTACGTATTGCTGTTAGATCCTGATAGATCCTGTCTACATGTCAGGGATAATTTATAATTACAAGTAACTAATCAAGTTATTGATGTTGCTCCACATGTGTAAATGTGTGCAACTCTGTCATTGTAGAGATGCTCATATCGATCTTGCAGCTGTCTGACAATAAACTCAGAGGAAAGTCTGCTACAAACAGCTGGAAGCAAATGTCAGCTCCTAATTACATATATAACCGACACTTCAGTTTGTAATAGAGGCAAACTTGTTAGACATCATGAATGAAAAGGGTTTTTTCAGATTTTGTGGTAAACTATTGTTCTTTGTGATGTTTTGGCCAATATTGGTGCTAAAATGGGGGGAAAAAAAGTTTTTCACAAATCACTTCTCACAACTAAAAACACACTGCTTTGTTAACGTGACTGCATGCAGACTTGTGCCACGCTGAAAGTGACACAAGGTCCGACCTACTGAAGCTGCAATTGTGACTTTTACGTAAAAGTGAGCAGGTTGTTCGTAGAGACGTAAAGCTGACATGCACGACTGAAATGGGCTTCATAGGGTTCTACTATGTGTGTTGATGTATGTTAATGAAGTCAAAACATTTACTTTAAGTGAAAATAAAAAGTAAGTTGTTAAATACGGTGATGCTGACCATAGACTGTATAAAAGATGGACGTAGCTACCATGACGTCACCCGTTGGTTTCTGCACTGAGAAAATGAAGCCAGGGTTTTGCTACTTCCTGGTTGACATCTTGGATTTTTGGAGCCAGTGACGCAAAAATCGTCGGAGGGGGGCGGAGCCATAGGAGCAGCGATTGGTCAGACGGATTGAGAGGCGGGCCCTCTCTGCCCGCCCACATTTACCGCCTTCTGCTCGCTTCATCTGCATCGTCGCTGCCGACTGTCAATCAAGCCAGCCACGCCCCTTGCCCCGCAAAATGTTGATGATTTTTTAAAAATTCAGTATTGATTTATTTTCAGATTGCCCACCTGATCTCTGGATTTGACCATGAAAACTAATAAGAAAAACATCCTGAGCTGTAGGAATGCAGTATTTCGTGATCTGTGATCACTTCTTTTCCAATTCCAGTCTATGGGAGCCAGGGCTTTTTGGAGCCAGCAACTAGCGGACGTAGTGATATTGCAGGTTTTTGACACTTCCGGGTTGGTTTCACTTTTCAGGGCCGGTTGCTACGTTCAGCTTTTATACAGTCTATGATGCTGGCTGACAGTTTCTCGAAGAGCAGGATTTTTCTAAAACTGAATATTTTCACTACACTGTCTGAATTAGATAAACACTAATATCAGATTCATCAACATCTGTCAAATCCCTTAAAAAAGAAAAATTTAAAAAAGTAGAATTGTGATTTATACAAATGACATGGATATTAACGTGTATAGTTTTCTTGCATTGCACAAGACAAGCAAGCACATATGTTAACTCCATCGACTATCTTTTGTGCGAATTAGGAGACAGTCATTAAAATCATACAGGGGAGCAAATGCTTTTTAAAGCAGATGGACATAGGAGTGCCGGAGTCCTGTGAGGATCCCAGAAGGAGTTGTCTTTAAACATAGCAGATGTTCAGCTACAAGGATAAAATCTGTCCACTAACCACCTGCAGGTACACGGAGATTCTAGAGAGGCTATTACAAGTGCATTGCATGTAGAAAACATGCATTACTTGGTTTCCTGAGAAGTCTGGTTTCTCATATGTGTGTGTGAATGTGACAACTGGTAGTGCCAATGAGCACCGGTGAAGTCAACGCATCATCTCTGAATTAATGAAGACTAAGCAAAGCAGATGAGAAATTAAGAAAAAGATATATATATATATCTGGTGGTTACCGTGAGTGAATAGAAGTAGATGAGAATCAAACTGGCGGTCATAACCAGGTTCGCCACCAGAGAGAGAGGAGCCAGGTACTTCAGGTTAGGGGTGAAAACCAGCAGGATGACCGCAGGCAGGAAGCAGAGCATGTAGAGACGGGAGTCGAAGCTGGGAACCAGGACCTGGGTCTGATTGGTGTAGTTTACTTGGCAGTTGAAGGTGGTGGCATTGGCTGCTTCAACCACCTGGTAAAGACAAGTGAGAGGGAGAGGTCAGAGGAGGGACAAACCTCGAGGAGCATCTACAGCCTCCTACATTGCTGGAGAAATAATTTACACAAAACAACGAGTTTTCAAAATGGTCACCAGTTAAGTTTCTGTTGAATATCTAATATTTAGCATTTCAGAAACACTAACTGCTTCACAATATTAACAAGCACGGCTGAAAAAAGAAGCCGGCAGAGATTAACATGAACACAAACGCCTAAACTGTTTTGTTTCAGTAAAATGTGCCGGATTACACTCGACCTGATGTGATTTATGAACCAGCTGAGGAGAAAGCACAGAAGATGCAGACAGATGCCACCATCTAGTGGACAGAAGCTGTAGTGCACAAAATAAGTCCATCTAGAATCGTACTATTTATTAGCAAATGGAAGTTGTTTGCCGACACAGTTTGATGTGTGTTGTTTATTTAAGCTCCTCACAGTGGACTTGATCGTGTGCAAATACACAGCATGCAAAGTTGACGGCAGTTTTCTTTAGGAAAGCATTCTAAGGCAGATTTTAAAAAGAACAAAATAAATAAAATCATAGACAAAACACAAACAAGGGGTCACAGGTCACCTAGCTACCTTCCTGTGACCTAATGTTTTTTTTTTTGTTGTGTTGCCTTTTACTACATCTTTTCTTGTATTCTTCTTCTTGGATTCACCTTCAATGTGTTTTCTGAAGTTAATAAATAAAATACATTAAAATAAACGGGAAAATATGATAGTTTTGATGCAGCATATTGTGTAATGCATGAGAATATCAATGACAGCATTATGAACGCTTCCTCTCAATCCTGTAAAGCTGCATTTCAGTTTGCTATTTATTTCACCACACATACAGGACAGTTAACCGGTGACTTCTGCTCCGTGTGCAGTCGTCAGATGTTGTTTGAAGTTATTTCATTTTAAGGTAAACATACTACTGATATTCTTATTTCTTTAGGTGATTATTTCTATTGACTAGACAAACCTTCATGTGACCATCCTAACTGAGGTGATGCCAGCAGTCCACAATCAGACAGAAGAGATGCTGCTTTACGTGCGTTTATTTGAGGTCTATCTACCCATTTATTGGTCTGCACAGGTCACAGAATTACTCTGAGTTTCAGAGTGGGGCAGGTAAAAGGTGATAAGTCCACGAGTAGCCTGTATATCGTGTTGTCAGAGCAAATAATCGCTGTGACGGTCAGTGGGACATCTTTAAGAGACACTAGTGTTGAATAAAGGTTTTCATTTGAAGTTCAGAAAATCTGTGCGCGTGTGTGTGTGTGTGTGATTAAGACCTGCTTGACATTGTCACTAAGGAAGACAAAGTAGACGCAGCAGAAGCCCAGCTGGGTGATGATGAGGAACAAGTTCACCGTCCGTCTGAGGCAGACACAGAGAGAGAGAGAGAGATTGATGAGGACAGAGGTGAGACAAATGCTTATACGGTAAAAAGTTCCACTGAGTTTATGAACAATATTACTTCTGGCAGCAAAGTGAAGGTCAAAATGTGATTTTTGTATAGAAACAAATCATGCTTCTCCTTTCCCTGTAAGCCTATTGCTCTCTTGACTCTGTATCACTGGGCTTTATTACAGGTGATAAATTCCTCACTCACCCTTGAGTCTTAAATAACAAATTGATATTGTCCTTAACTGTCACAAAAGAACTGCACGGTATGCTATTTATCTGTTAGGCCCTGCTGCAGGATCACCTCCTCGTTCTTGTCTTGAAGTTCTAAAACACTGAAACTACAAGCTTGTTAACTTTAAGACTGTATTTAAGTTTTTTTTTTTTTTTTTTTACAGTACGTCTGTGGCTGCTTTTGCAAATGTAACTTGAGATTTTCCTCTCTGTCCATATTTACTTTGTAAACGTTTATCTATTGTACACACGCCTCTGAAAGACAGATCAGTACCTGATTATATAACAGCCAATTAAGAAAACACTATGATGTTTTTAGAAACTTGAATTTGCAACTTTTAGAGTTTCCCTGTTTCCAGCTTTGATGCTAAGCTAAGCTAACCTGCTGCTGTCAGTAGCTTCACATTTACAATACAGATATGAGAGTGCTATCAATGTTCTCAACAAAAGAGCAAATAAGTCAAGTTGTACTACTCCTTTAAATAGGGCTATTTTCATATTCCGGGTTACATTCACGTTTACAGGGGATTCCCACAAAAGAATTATTGAATCTTGTACAGATGATAAAAGCATTAAAACCACACCTGTTGACACCTGTTCACTGATTCTAAGTTCCCATTTCTGCATTAGAGGAGCTCCTCTGATACGGCTAAACTGTTACGTGAACCCCAAGTTAGAATGATGACATACCCTAAATAATATAGTAATGTGTTAAAAAAAAAAAAACAACCTCATGATGCAATTTAAAGAACATGTGAATCAATGACAAGGACTGGTACATCTTTATCTTACTTTCCCCACTGTGAATGCCTCCTCAGCCACGACACATTTTCCATCCCGTACTGCACCGCCTCACCATAGGTTAGAGAAGGTCTGTTTACCCTGGTTGGGGGACAAACATACAGATGCAACTTCAGATGATGTCAGAACAAAGAGCTTGTTTGGCATTACGACTTAGACATTTAATGTATACTTATATTGTGCAGTTATTCACTGACTGAGTTGTTGCTGACACATGTCATGAGCTGCTTCATACAACCAAAAAAAAAAGCTTCAAATGGAACTTTGCAGTGAAGTCAGAGCACGTAAGCTTGACATGATTGTGAAAAACTACAACTAAAGTTTAAAAAGGCCTCCTCACAGCTGAATAACACACACACACAGGCAGGGAACAAAGGAGCTAATAATGGGTGGCAATGGAGTTAAAATGCTTTTCGTTCATACAG